TTTTATAGCAGCTGACCACATGAATTTGACAGTAGGAGTATAAGAGATCCTGGTTCAAATAGAGAACACGGAATTGTTCAGACAAACCACTCATAATATGTCAAATGTTCAAGAAACGGCATGTACCTCCGGGACGAGAACGTAATGGGTAGCAGAACTGAAAAAGGGAGAGCATAAATTTCCTATTGCTGCTGGAGTGAAAAACTGAGCTAGGGTGGTGGTGGTAGACTAGTGGTGGTGGTAGTGGAGGTATTGGTGTTGGTGGTGGTGGTGGTGGTGGTGGCAGAAGTAGTGGTTGTGGAGAGGTTATCTGTACACGAAATTCCAACAGAACTAAAGGATCAGAAGTTGACACTTGTTACCGATGTCCTTGGAATATGCCTGATATCCAAATCAAATATTTCGTCCAAACTGAAGTTTTGCTATGGTGGATCCCGTGATCTATGCTCTGTACCGGTAACGCAGTTTTCAGTAGCACTACACCGCCAGACTACACACAACACTTGAACCTTCTCAGGGGATTATCAGAGGCAGCTCAAGCCGCCGCGGGAACATGGCAAGTTAGCCGCCAAGCCAGAGAGAACGAGCGGTGGGAAGAGTTAACCAATATAACTCCACCTGCCATTGTCGCGGTTCAAACTCCAAACAAGGGAAGCCCTTGTCTCAACAAACGCGCGTTCTCTCTATGGCAGAACAGGCCAGTTGCCTGGACGGGGGATTAGTGGCCGTCTAGCGTACACAGCGTGCTTCTGACCGGATACGGCTACCGGTGCTAAGGTAAACCAGGCGTGACGCCACCCAAAGTCATTATTTCTGTGACAGTTGGCATCAGGAAGCCCAAAGCGGACACAGGCAAACAACCATTGTTTTTCTCACGACCTTTCTCTTTCTTCTTTTGTAACCCCAAACTTCCCTCAATAATTTTTCCCGAATCCCCCGGAGAACCCATAACTCCCTCGACAATATTCAAGGCGTAGAAGTGTAGAATTCTAATTAAATTCCCTCTACCAGTGTGTGGTTTACGTGTTCTTTTATCCTTTTATTTTTTACACAGCCTCTGGTGTGCCAAGTTTCCAATACCAAGTCGATGTACTTATCCGTAGCTTCTTTCACCTTTCCCAAACCAACACTGGTTCGTTGGCATTGAATCGAGAGAAATAAAACTTGGACGAAACTCAACATAGGCACAGCGAATGTCACATTTCACACTAATTAACTCCCAAATCCGATCAAGGAAGGCTACGAAGTAGAGCGGATTGCTCTGACCTCGAACCTGGAATCGTTACCTAAAACAGACAAGGAGAAAAAAAAGGGCGAACGTGCTGATGGACTGGTAACCGGCAGACAGACGCAGCAGTTGACCGTCCTATCCAGGATATGTGCCCTTATTTTTAATGTCCCCTAATAATATTTCATTTCTAAAATGGTAAAACAACTCAAAATTTTTAATCTGACGTGAAAGGTCGGAATTGGCTCGCAAAGCAGGACGGTAAAGTATGTGATTGCGGAATAGGCGGAAGGAAGGCGCCG